GTTGAATACAGTCTGAGTGCATAGAAAACAATTTTGGTTTTGATCACAATATTTATCAGTAAAGGTTATCTAAATGAAAATTTATTTCTTTTTTTCCCCCATAAAATGTGAAAAATTAAAAAGTAGGTTATTTAAATATTCTGCTTGAGAAGGAGCCACAGCAGATGTAAAGGCACAGTTAAAGTGGCCGTAGGATTAAGGAGTGGTAACCTAAATGACAAACTGACACTCTAAAATAGTTTTGCATTTATGATTGTCTTTTGCTGCTTAGAAATTATTCGATAGAATTATTCGGATATATTTCCTTCAGTGAAGATGATGAAATGTCTGAATTTTTCTTCTTTTCAGCTTTTTGATGGCATTGAGTGTGAATTCCCTCTTTTTTTTATTTTCATGATAATCGATGGTAAGTATACCTTTACATTCCTGTTCTTGAAAGACATTAGAGAGGTGAGCTCTTAGAAAAAAGAGACAAAATTTTCCTGCCCTGCCAAAATAAACCATAATGCAAAAATCTCATTGAGAGTTCTACCTCCTGGGTTAAAAGAACCCAAGCACCCCAACCTGTGGTGACCTGTTTTTAGAACAGAACTTGATAAGGGTGTTTTTAAAAGCTTCAATCTGTGCCATGGTCCTGCATTGCCTTTTAAGCCTAAAAAACTTTCACAGTGTGTCAGACCTTTGCAGCAGCACCCCAGAGGAAAGGAAGTGAAACAGAGAACACACTGACACACTGAATGTAGCAGTGGGTCTTTTCAAGTTGAATATTATCTGGAAATTGAAACAGAATTCACAAAGTGAACCAGAAAAGGCCACGATTTTTCACAATCAGTCTGATTGAATTAAAAACACCCCATAAAATCACAACAGCAACAAAAACACCACTACCTAGACCTTGCCTTGAGGATAGGAGACACAGCAAAGAAGTTCAGGGGGTGATTCAGGATGGGAGCTAAAACTTCGATGGAACAGAAATCTGATTAAGCAAATTAGTAGGGTTACAGCTGTCAAAAAGATTTTTAAATGGATTAAAATCTGGCCATCTTTTTTTTTTCTTTTTTTTTCCCCCTTCTGTAGTATGTTAAATAGTTTTCAAATAAAGACAGTGATGGGAAGAGAGATATGCTGTCTGCCTCGACTCCTCTGTGGCCACCCACAGATTAAAATATTGTGTTTGAAGGTACAATAAGGTTTCACAATTGATGTTTCTGAAGGAGTGCTTGACGTTTTTCAAAGAGTGAGGCCCAAAACTGAGGAGAAAGGCACTGACATTTAATGCTGCCCACTTGCAGTTTTGAGAAGAACAAAAAAAGAGGAATCTTTAACTGAAGTTATCAGAAGAATAAAAGAAGCATTTTAGTCTTCTCGTATACAAAAAAGGAGTAAAAAATACTTTGCACATACTGTCCTGGTCCTTTTTTCCTGGACCGCGCTCTAGCAAATAGACCAACTCTGTTAGTAGATTTTGTACAGAAATCTCCAAATCCACAGATTTCCTTAAAGCAAAATTTGAAGTGTATACAGTGTGACTGCAAAAAGACAATGGAATGGGATGAGCAGATAGCAGGGGAATGTCTCTGTAATGAAAGCATCAAAGAAACCCCCCAAACTGCTGCATTGTGAGTACTGGTTTAGCTATAAACCTATTTGCCCATCCAACACAGACTACAAAAGAAAGCCTTTTCAGCAAATTGTATTAAGCAACTGAATATCCAGGTAACTCCTGGGAGCTGGGTTTTGTTACCTGTGTGACAGTGGGACAGTGCTTGTCAAAGTGATACATTTTTTGCTGGATGGACAGAAATGGTTTTGGCATTGTTGATATATATATTTTCATTTAAGAACTTTGGATGAACTGAACACTGGTTGTGTTAGTGTTGATCAGATTCATTTTGAGAAGTTCTGCTAAAAAGACCATTTAAGGTACTCCCGAACATACCAGTGTCTCCCCAGAAGCAGCATCAGAGAGTTGACTGTTCTGTTTAATATCTTGAAGTGTGTCAGCAGTTCTCAGCCTCTGTAATATGATGATATAATACCTGTATAACTTGCATCAAAAAAATCTCCTGAGAGATTCAGTTTGCTACTTCAAATTCCTCGTGTATTTATTTAATGGGTTTTCTGGGCAACTCTCATCTAGATCAGTTTGCAACTCTGCCCTGAATGTTTGGAATGAGCCTGTTTGTCTCCACACTGGCACACAAGCTCTGCCCCTTCGTTCTGCTGTAATTAAGGAAGTTCTTTGCAGTGAGCTGGGCTGCTTGTCTGTGTCCAGGTCCTGCTCCCTGTAAGTTCACAGCTTTACTATCCCATGGAACTTGACATTTATTTCAGTTTAAGCTACTAAAGGAGCAC